TCCTATATATATTCCTATATATATATATATTCCATAAAAAACCGCAACAGTCTGTTTCATCCGTATAGGAATCATATATATATATATATATATATATATATATATATATATATATATATATATATATATATATATATATATATATATATATATATATATATATATATATATATATATATATATATATATATATATATATATATAAGTAATTTTAATAGATTGAGCATTTTAAACAATGGTGAGGTATGCGCTCGATAATCAGAAAATGTTATAATACGAATTGCTTTCTTTTGTAAAGTGACCAAGGGATATAAATTTGTAATATATGTATTTCCTCATAACAAAACGGCATACGTAAGGAATGGATAAATAATTGCATTGTACATTTGTAGCAATATTTGAATAGATACAAAGTGACGTAACTTCGCCAGGATTCCTATTCCGCTGGAAATCTTGTTTGATAGTTCCAATATATGACTCTTTATACTTTGCTTTTCCCTAATTTGTTGTTCTTGCATTTTCAAAATTAAACTTTAGTTAATTATTTTCTGTGCTGGGTGAAATACAATAAAATTTGGGGTTTTTTTATATTTAGACATAATTTATTTGCACACAACCATTTATCGGCAATGGACAACTGTTCATTGAGATTTTGTGCTAGACTTTGAAGATTTTTATGAGAATAAAATAGATTAGAGTCGTCAGCAAACAAATGGAAATCTAAATTAGTAGCTGAAAAGCTAAAATCATTTATGTATAACAAGAATAAAAGTGGCCCTAAAACAGATCCTTGTGGAACCCCACATGTAATAGGCTTTTGTTCAGATATAGCATTGCCAACTGAGACAAACTGTTTCCTATTTATTAAATATGAAGAAAAACCATTGATTTGTTAGATTTAAGTAGCAATGTAATTAGATATCAATTAAAGTAGCAATGTAATTAGTAATTCTAGTAGGTTGCAGAATATGTGGTTGAAAGCAATAAACTGACATATTATTTATAAATTCCTCAGTTGGATTAAGGGTAATTCATAATTCAATAAGTTAATATTAAAATCACCCATCAAAATACAATATTTTCTTTCACTAGAGAGTTTGTCTATTACCTTAGTGAGATGATGACAAAAGCTATCAAGATTACTATTTGGACGACAAGTCTTTTCTGCGGGAGGCGGGTGACGGGTGCCGGGTGCCAGGTGACGGGTGACGGGTAGCAGGTGACAGGTAGCGGGTGACAGGTGGCGAGAGCATGTTCGGTGACATTTTGCACCAATACATTGTTGATATTTCAGTAACTAATTAACGTTTCATTTGATTTTTTAAAATAGTTTAGGTTAAAATATTTTATTAATGAAGGCCTCTACGTCAATTGATTCCTTTGTATATGAAAGTTTGGGTGTTGCGAGTGTGAAAGTTTTCTTATTCTGAACACTATGTTCTGAAGTATCATGACTCTGTACATGAATGTCAAAAGTATACCGCTTGTGTGTTGGTTACATGTATGTGGTTTGATCCAGTCTGAATTCGATGACCACTGACATGTCGAGTCAAGCAGGATGACTTGTAACCGCCAGCTAAGCAGCGAATCACTCTACGACTCTATCAATTACTTAATATTAACTTCTGTTTAATGGTAATTGTGTTAAAAATGTGTTATTTGCGTTTACATTTCGTTAAACAAAAAATTTGGATTGGCTGTTAAACAAATTATTACTCGAACAAAAACACCCTCTGCTAAAACGACAAATACAAACGTAATTGATATTTATTTAACAAAGAAAGGAAACAATAATTTGTTAATTGCTAATTAACCTGAACGCTTGGACACGATTCACAACCTTATCACAGGACAATGCCTGCAATTAAGCATTAAATCTATAGTAGATTTAATGCTTAACTTACCTCATAGTTCAACTTTTCATTTGACTCTATTGTTCTCAATCTCGAACCCTGAGCATTTTCCTGTGATG